ATCTATCTATCTATCTATCTATCTATCTATCTATCTATCTATCTATCCACCTACCTACATACATACATACATATATACATTCATACATACATATATAGGAATCCTTTAATTCTAGATGGCAATATGTACCACTTATACTTATGTTAGCCACTAAGGATGCATGGGGATCTGGACTCAAAAGCAAATTGTGATAGGCAGCAAACTAGCGCATTCAGCACTTGTCAGGAACAACTTAAACCTGCCATGCAAGTTTAGGGAAATGCCAGCTGCCTTAAAATCTTTCCAACAGGTGCTGTATAAGCTCTTTTACTTTTAAATAGCAAAACAAATTATCTAGCATCTACGTACTTCAATTTCCCTGGGCCTTGTCCATATCCTTTAGTCTCCAACTTCCTGTAGAAATTCCTCAGTTTAGCTTCAAAGTCTCTTTTATAAGGAGCAGGGGCACGGGCATTAGCACGTTGGGTACCTGCACCACAGTCAGAAAACAAGATTTTATTAAAACATCACCAAAAACATAAATAAATGTTACATAATGATATAAAGCTGCACTATGATATCACACTGAGGACAAAAGATAAATCATGGCATAGAGGTAAGCTACATAGTGACTTATTTTTTTAAAAATGTGTTTTATTGGGGGGTGATTACACATAACTTTTAAATATTGTACATTTACTATCAATTAGTTCTAGAAAACAAACCCCACAAAACTTAATTCAACTCATTGCAATTCTAGTGTGTGGGTGATTTTAAATATTTATAAGCTACTAAAAGAACCAGAATTACAAATAACATGAAGGGATTGTTTTTGTTTTGCCTAGATCTATCATGCCATAAAATTTAATTTAGCTGAAAAACAGATGAAAATAACTTCTCCCTTAACCATCATCTGGAAAAATGAAAGTCATATATCTTGAATTCAACCACTGTTATTAACAAGCAAAATCTCTGTTTAAGGTAAAAGCACACAGGTCTCTGAATGAAAGAGAAGCACATGAGCATCAGAATCTTTCACACTCTTGCTATGCAACCTGAAAGTGGTTTGTTGAGAAGAAAGCCCCAGTTTACCAGACAAGTAGGAATAGGATTCGTACCCGCTACATGCAAAAAATTGCTATAAAATGATTATGCTTCAATAGCATACTTCTTAACTTGAAATCCACAGGAACATACTTTTGAATTCATTGCTCGAAAAACAGCATGGCTGCTTCTTTAAAAATTCAAACCTGGATTTATTTCTAGTCCACTATCAAAATAGTTAACTCCAATGAAAGAGTAACGACTTCATTGTTTCTCCTCTCAGAAAACTGCTGTTCGCTTTTGATATAAGTGGTACATAACAAAACTCATGTTTAGCTTTGAAAGCTAACTTTCAAATCTTGCGTTCATCAAATGAGATGTCAGTGCAAAAAATATCCCCTACATTTATCATGTATACAACCACATTTGCAGTAACTGAAACTTGTAAGCAAAGCAGGTAAATAAATCTACAACAGATATTTTTAGAGAAAACTTTAGTAAACCCACTTCCTATTTCAGCTTTTTGTCAGCTTAAAGATTTAAAGCAGTGGTTCCCAAACTTGGCAACTTTAAGACTTGTGGACTTAGCAGAGCTGGCTGGAGAATTCTGGGAGTTGAAGTCCACAAGTCTTAAAGTTGCCAAGTTTGGGAACCACTGATTTAAAGCATAGGAATGACTGACATGATGAACAAGCTGATCTGAATAAATCAAATATATTTTACTTTCAAATAGTCTCCTCAATGTCTTCATTTCAGCTTCTTTGTATAATTCCTTTGCCTCTTGACTTTCTAAGATTTTGAAGCATGTTCCCCACACCTCGTAAGTTGAGATAGTTCTACAGCCAAAGTGAAATATCACAGCTAACAAACTCCTTTGTTTATAACCCAAAATAGAAAAGTCAAATTTTGGGCAGAAACATTTATTATGTTGTATTATAAAGTCATAACAGGGAAACACTTCAAAATCAGATTGATAATGCTTCATCCACAGACATTTATGGGGAAGAATATTCAGACAATGCTGTCATCCAATTATAATCCACCCTTGTTTTCCCATTATTTCTCCTTCACCACCACATAGAGAAAGAGAGAACAGCCGTACAATTGTTTTTCACAAGTCACACTAGGAAGGGATAGAAAGATGTTATAACGTGAAATCTGACTTTGCCTTTAAAGAGTAACTCTGTAACTCTATTGGTATTAAATAATCCTAGCTACTTCTAATCTGATAAAAAGAAAAGATACATCACTGCCAAAAGGGCATAGGATAGCTGTAAGGGAAAGAGCATTAGTGATTTCACACTTGTAATAATGTTGTGTGCGGAGGAGTGGAGAAACAGGAATATTAGCAAGAGGCAGAAGCAGATATCAGGCTACGCATTTATGCACGCTTCCTAAAACAGCTTTTTCCAGGCTGACGCCCTCCGTGTAGGTTGAACCTTAACTCCCAATTGTCTGTCGATAGTTGGAAAAGCTAGTTTACAATGAAATGCAATGAAATCAATGAGACTTACTTCTCAGCAGATATCCATAGGACAGTACGGTAAAAATTTAGACAATAGTTCTTCAGAGAACTTAAAGTGGTTTTGAAGAGGCACCACTTTTCTCAATATATATATATATTTCTTTAACCTTGGTATCATTTCTAATTTATTCTACCAAGGGCTCTTGATTAGCAGTCATGGGAGAAGAAGAGAGGTGACTTCCTGGATTGGAAACTGGCTAAAGGACAGAAATCAGATACAATTTTCAGATTGGTGCAGTGGTGGGATTAATTTTTTTTTACTACTGTTTCTGTGGGCGTGGCTTGGTGGGCGTGGCAGGGGAAGGATGCTGTAAAATCTCCATTCCCACCCCACTCCACGGGAAGGTTACTGCAAAATCCCCATTCCCTCCTGATCAGCTGGGATTCAGGAGGCAGAGAATAGACGGGGGCGGAGCCAGTCAGAGGTGGTATTCACCGGTTCTCCGAGCTACTCAAAACTTTCACTACAGGTTCTTGAGAACTGGTCGGAACCTACTGAACACCACCTCTGGATTGGTGGTATGGTTAAAGCCAAGTTCAAAGGCATCAATACTGAGAATGGTAGTCCTAAATTAGTTAGGAATAACTAGTTATGTGGCTAATTTTATTTTTGACATTTATTAAAATCTAATGAGAATTGTGAACAGTTCTCAAAATAGCCAAAGCAGTCCCCTTTAAGCCAATGCAAAATGATGTACATTGGTGCGCGCACGCACACATGCACGAGCGCATGCACGCGCACGCACACACACACACACACACATATGCCAATGACTTGAGATCATTTGCTACTGCTAAAATTGAATTCTGAAGTGATAAAAGTAAGTTCTTTGTACTGTGAAACTTATATCTAATGATGCTATATCTGTTGATGGCCATCTATCCAAAAAGGATTGATTTGTAGAGACTTGAATTAACAAGGTCTACAAGTGCTGAGGACAGCATGCTAATGCTAAAGTCCCACGCAGCACGCAAACACCAGCTGCTACTATGGAGCAATAGTGAAGAGTTGCTATGGTCCATATTGTGAACTTCTTTAAAGCATCTGCTTGGGAAGTGTGAAATAGAATTAGGCCCGTTGACCTAATTAGCAGGATCTTATATTCAAGGCTGAAAAGGATTGTAAACTATAGAAACAAAATGTACTGCATAGATAGTTATGAGAAAATTTGCACACTACAAGCAATGATACTTTAAAAATTGTGATCTTTTCAAGAAAAGAAAGTTGTTATCTATATTCATTAAATGCTAAAGTAAGATGTAAAATTACAGGCAACACATTCAAATTTGCAATATATATGCTGGTCTTGTTGTATTCGGGTCTTTTCCCATGTAAGATTGAGATTGTCTTGGCAATGTTTCAGCGAGGTCTCACTCGCCATCTTCAGGTGGTGTTTTCGGCTTAAAGCGTGGTCGGAGCTGTCGTCTTTCTATAAATCTGGGGGGGGGGGGGGTAGAATGCTGGCTTTGTTTCAGTAAGTGGATTGATTGGTTGTGTGGTTGTATCATGACTGGTAGATTGGTGCTGATTGGTGCTGGCTGTGTGTACGTTGTTGTTTTGTGTTGTAATGGCCTAGGTGGTGGGTGTGGTTCGTTTGTTGACTAGGTTTCCAGATGTCTGGTAGGCGGGAGGTATCGTCACGTTTATTCATGTTGTGGGGCATGAAGCCCCACAACAGACAATTCTATGGGTAGCATATAGTAAATATAAAAACAAATGGGCAATTATATTTCCCCAGATACAATGGGTATCGTCTAAGCATCCCATAAGGGTATAAACATCCCTAAAGACCTTTAAAAGACTTTTCTAAATAGATTGGGACTGTAACTAATAACAATTCTCCATGGCTGGCTAAGGAATTTGGGTAGTTTCAGTGCCAATATACCTGGAGGAATCAGGTGGAGAACACCATTCTAGGTGTATCTGTCCCTAGGTTGTAGACAGCTTGCTTAAACATATAGGGACAACCCCAAGCAGACAGGTGTCATTCCTGTAGTTCAAGGGTGTCAAACTGGATTTCTTTGAGGGCTGGATCAGCATTGTAGCTGTCCTCCGCGAGCTGAACGGGGAGACAGGATGAACAGGAGATGGCCAAAACAGGGTGTAGGTGGCTTCCCACACCCCGTTATCAGCCTGGATGGCCTCCTGCAGCACTCTACCAGGCAAAATGGGGTGCGGGAGGACTGTACGCAGCCTCCCTGTGCCCCGTTTTCACCGGCAGAGTGCTGCAGGAGACTACCCAGGCTGAAAATGGGGAGGGTGGGCACACGTGGACCCTCTGCACCCTATTTTTTCTAGCAGAGGCACCACGGGCCAGTCCTTTGCTATTTCCAGGCCAGCCCCGCAAGCCAGATCCAAGTACCCCATGAGCCAGATCTGGCCCGCAGACCTTGCGTTTGACACTCCTGCTGTAGTTGAATCGATAGCAATAGCATTAGCATTTAAACTTATATGCCTCTTCACAGTGCTTTTACAGCCCTCTCTAAGCGGTTTACAGAGTCAGCATTATTGGCCCCAACAATCTGGATCCTCATTTTACCAACCTCGGAAGGATGGAAGGCTGAGTCAACCTTGAGCCTGGTGAGGTTCAAACTGCACAATTGCAGGCAGGGAGCAGTCAACAGAAGCAGCCTGCAGTACTGCATTCTAACCCCTGTGCCACTGCAGCTCTGTTGACACATGATATATATAATAAGGTATTCCGTGTGACATATTTTGCTTATCTTACTTAATGACACGTGATAGTACACATGCAATGATTGTAAGTCCTGTGAGAGACTGCATTTCTAGTCATTTACATCCCGTGATTATTACGCAGTTATAATTGTGTTTCAAAGGATGGTATGTCCAGAATTACCTGGTTTTCTACCATACTCCCTAAGCTGTATCTCTAACTGGGCTCAACATTTAGATAACCTCAATACTCTGGGTAAGCCAGAAGAACCAAGATACTGTTGGCAGCACACAGCTTATTCTTATAGTGAAGCTGGTAGCCTTATGCACTAAAAGGTGAGCAGATAGGTCTGGTTAGCTGGCAAGAAACACCAGTTGACCGAAAAACGGGTTGCTTCCAGATTCCTTTTGGCAGTAGTAGGGAATAAACAACATTTAGGTGACCCAAGACTGACATTTCCAAACAAGCTGCATAACTATCAAAAGTGTGCACACATCCTTTCCGCACCTCCTCATTTGTGCTGTTAATTGCTGCATCTTGGTAACAATGACAGAGTTAGCAGTATGATATCTACTTCAGTGATGTCATTTTGACAATCAGGGAAGTAGGCAAATATAGTTTCATTACCAATCTTTGTTCCTGCCAGAAGGAGGGTCATTAACCAGTCAGCTACGGAATTCTACAATGCATATCCTGAAGGATTTAATTTATGCTTCTTTCTCATTTTTCCCCATAGCAAAAGCGACATAGAAGAGAAGAATTCGGAACTGCAGCAGTATTAGGAGTTGACCAGTGGTGGCTTTCAAAAAATTGTGGAACCTCTTCTGTAGGTGTGGCCTGCTTTCCGGGTCCACTGGTGGAACCTCTTCTAACCGGTTCGGTAGATTTGACGAACTGGTTCTACTGAATAGGTGCGAACTGGTAGGAA